TATATCTCTATAAAATATATATAGAATATAAAATTGTGTACTAAAATAATGCCCTTCAAGCTCATTATAAATACCTTGATATTTACAATAAAGCAAAACATGAGCCCATGTTTCAATATTCCTGTCTTCACAAAGGCAGTGCTGTACCATTTAGCATGTGGAATTTTCCAGAATTTGCCCTTCACCACTGATGACAGCAAGATATCAAACTGCAGTAATATTAAAGCCCTACAAAATTTATTATTTGTAAGTTGGGCAAAACAAAATTCTGGATTAAAGTAAAATTTGCTATGACTCAGTTGTGACAGTTTATTATATATCTAATGTCTAAGAACTACCAGAGCCTGTTGTTGTCCCAGGAACATCAGCCTCTTAGTTGAAAATCCCAACTATCGTAATTTGTCTCCTATTTGCCATTTCCAAGAAGAATAGTGTTTATCTGTCAGAATATGATGTATTAGATCTTGAGGCTGAACATTTAAATACTGATAGCCATTCCATTGTTTCCAGATAGCAGGGCAACATTAGGAACACTTTTTGTCACTTGGAATTATTTTCTTAGAAAATTGGTTTGGACTCTCTCTTTGTAGCAGTTGATAGCTGAGCTCCACACTGGAGTGTGTCAGCGCCTTGGCTTTACAAAAGTTTCAGTGCAGCTTAAGTACGTACTGAACTTGGGCCCCTATGGAGAAGAAAGACAAGATTGCTTCCAGAGTCCTCTAGGCATTTAGACCAACCTGGGCAGCATGAGTGTGTTATTTCCCTGAATATTGAAACATGAAGCCCAGATATTTAAAATAGGGAAGCTGCTCTATTTTATGCACCTGAAGGGTCCAAGTCAGTTTTTAAAAGCCCCCTGCAAAACATGACCTTTGTTTTCTCAGTTAATTTGTAATCATTGTTCCTTATAGAAATGGGTCAGTGCTCCTGTAATTCATAAACATATTGCTTTTCATTATGCAAAGACAAATTCAAAGCGTTTCACAAAATAAAATCAATTATTGTGTAACACGTGTACCGTTTTTAAAAGGCCAATAAAAATGATAGCACACAAAATACTATACCATAATAAGAAAAAAGCAACAGATTACCTGAAATTGTTTTACACATGGACAAAAAATTGATATTTCTCAAGCAAAAGGTAACACAGATGTTTCTCAGTTCTCAAACTGTAAAACAAATTTATAATATTGCAAAAAAAAGAACACATACAGGCGGTCCCCAGGTTAAGAACAAGTTCCATTCCTAAGCTTGTCTTTAACTCAAATGTGTATGTAAGTTGGAACTCGTACTTATGAACAGGCTGCCTGTTACTAAAAATGGTGGACAGCATTCTCCTTCCTCAAGCCAACCAACCGCTGAAGCTGCATGATGTTTACATGAACCGCTGAAAACAGGCTGTAAATTAAAAACACGCAGCTTCAGCGGCTCATGAAAACATTGAATGGCTTCAGCAGTTCATCAGCTTGAGGAAGGAGAACACCATCTGCCATTTTTAGTAACAGGCAGCCCGTTTGTAAGTATGAGTTGTCCATAGGTCAGATGTTCTTAACTCAGGGACTGCCATAACTGAACAGACCTTCCAGTCTCCATCTTGATGTTAAAATCCTGCTCTAGGATGCCTTAGATTTAATAAGTAAAAAATCAGGGTGAAGAAGCCTAAAAAAGAGCAAGACTCAGGTGACAAACCATATGAGCACAGCTTCCTTGTTACATTTGACCACTGTTTTTATCTAATTGTGCCACAAAATTAATGGAAGCAGCTCTGTGGAACCTAAATTAAGCCTTAGCCAGGCAAACAGATTTGATTGCCAAGCTCCAGCTTTAGTTCTGAGTTGCCCAGCCTTTAACCTTAGAGTTATGTTAGGGACATATTTGACACCTACATGGCCCTGAGGTTAGACATTAGGTTGCCCAGAATAGAAGCTGGAGCTTGGCAATCAATTTGCCAAGAGGTCTCTTTAAAAACGATTCTATCCTTTTCCACAAAGTCCAAAGAACCCCACATAATAGTTATGCACCAGATTGTACAATGAAAAGTTTAAGCAGTTGGAACAAGAAATGCTCCTTAATTTCCTGGCTGATTCACTTCTTTAGGCTACACAGGGGTTATAGTTGGATTATGCCTTATTACACTGAGGATTGGAACACTATTTGTAGATATTTAAAGCTAATTACTGCTCAATGGCTTCATTGTTTAGACACCATTTGTGGATTTTGGTACTACTGGAGAGTACCAAGATACATTTTACTACTTGAGAGTACTACTACTACTTCACAGTGTTGGACCTAGACCCTAAGCACCCTCCTGAGACCAACCTGAGGCAATGACAGCTTGCAGCATCATCTCCCTAAAATAGAAAGTTATTTATATAGCAATTTAGGAACATGTAAATCTAAATCCTGTAAATGGCCAAAATGTCCTTGTCTCACTCCCTTTTCAGTTGTACATTTGGGCACTGTCCAGCACCATTGTACCTAACTCTACAAGAGGTTTTTCCATATAGGTTATATGTCGTTAAGAGCAAATATTTCTAATTAATAGAGTTTTTGAGCTTATCTCACAAAGAATTTCTAGAGACTCTGAATGCCACTCTGAAATCCACAAAAGCTAAGGACATTTGGGTGGAAACATGGCAGTACATCTTGTGAAACTTTGGGGATGACACAGAGGTAAAGACCAACAGCCAGGCGATATGCCTGAGCTAACAGAGCTTCTCCAGATAAGGAGAAGCCATGAGATTGCCCACATGTGCTTTTGGGGGGGGGGGGGCAGCTCCTTGCAAGGAAGCCTGAAGGGAGCCTGTGGGCAACCCGCAAGTAGAGCACTGAGAACCGTGGAAGAAGACACCATGCTCACAACCTCGGACAAAGTCTGTTTAAAGGACACTGGGTCTGATTGATCCACTTTCTAAAACACATTTAAATGAAGCAAATTTAAAGTATAAAGAGACCTTCAGAGCAGCAGAGTATCTAAAGCCACCTGCATGACTGCATCTTCGATCTGGGAAAGATTAGGGAAAAAGAGAAGGAACCAGTTATAAAGATTTAAAATAATTAAATGCAAAAAGCTTACCAGGATTTTGGAATAAGTTAAAAAATGGACTAAGGGGACAGTTAAATTTGGAATATTGCCTCATTTAAAGTATTTTGTGAATTAAATAAACAGATAATATATATCTCTGAGGGAAAGAAAAATGTTTAAATTTGTTGAAGAAGCTGATTGGCTGACTGTGTTAATTAAAGAAGTAAGTAGAAAAAGAAGGGAAACAAGTTCTGAGAAGACCATATGATTATAGAAGTATGGTTATAGACTTCTTCTTCCATCAATATATTCAGAATATTTTGTAAATTTATGCAAGAAGCTTTAGCTTTCATAAATGATCCAGATGATTTTCTTTCAGCTGCTCCACATTGCTTTCTAGATAGATGTCTACATTTTTCTTCAGACTGATACAGAACCAGCTATGAGTACCCTTTGATCAGCCAGTTGCAAATACACACATCCTCAGTATCCTCTATTATTTATGACATCTTCAAAAGGGTCTTTCTGTAGATAGTAACAGATGGATAGACTGCAGTGGGAGAGACTTTAGATAGTCTGGCCCTAAGCCATTTGGGGTTTTTAAAAAGTGCCCAATAAGAAACTGACAGTCTTTCAGTGTGTGGTTGTAAAAGGCACCCCTCCAAACACATGTGAGCTGCATTCATTACCAACCCTATAAGATCGCCCCCAATACATGTGAACTGCTTAAAGTGCCCTTGTAAGAAAACATTCACAGCAAGCTGAATTGACCCTGAATGGGGACAATGGGAGGAATCAGACAGGACCCAGTGTCCCAGTAAACCAAATTGTTTATATTCACTGACCATATCTCAGAGATAGTATAGCTGCCATGCTGACCTAGTAGGAAGGGATAAATAATAATAATGAGACACAGATGGGCTTATCAAAAACATTCCAACATCATGCTGTAATTTACAGTATCTGCCTTTTTCTTTGTCTTGCCTTTGCAATGCAGTAGGCCAAGGGGTACATAAAGAAGGCTGAGTGCCAAAGAATTGATGCCTTTGAACTGTGGTGCTGGAGAAGACTCTTAAGAGTC